CTAGAAGACCCCCAAGGTCCCTTACAACTCTGCTATTGTATTGTATTGTATTGTATTGTATTGTATTGTATTGTATAAATAATACAAATCAATACACAGATGTAGGTTTGCAACATGAAGTCATAAAATCAAGTTATTTCAACCTTGTTTATATAAGCTCTGCCACCATCACTATCTCCAACAATGATGTATTTTATTATGGACCTAAGTATCCATAAAAAATAAAATGGTGTGTTCTTTGCAGGCCACTTCTTGGGAAATGTGCTGACCAATTCAGAAAAAAAAGATGGTACAGAGCACCCTTGAGCTAAAGAGTGAAAGGAAAAGAACATTTTGTTGAGCTGATTTTGATTGACATCATCTATCATGATAGTCATTTTCTGGCTGTATCTGTAACCTGCTCTTAAAAAATTCCAAGTATTTCCATTAGCTTCCCTTCCCCATTAATCCATTCAGAATGTCATCATCTTCTTTTAATGACCCCATAAATCCCTTGCAGGTGGAGTCTGGGCAAGTGAATGGAACGGGAGGGTTTACTGGCCGGATGTCCTTCCTGTCGCCAATGCAGAGTTATTGCCGATGTACCCAGAGAGAGAAATAACTGCCTCTATGTAGGATTGAACTCACAGCCTCCTGATCGTGAGGCGAGAGCGCCACTCATACATTCAGAAGGTCACGCTGTAGTTAAAAAAAATCTCAGGTTAAAAGAGCTGACAACTACAGAGGTGAAATGAAAATATTACCTAGGTCTATTGGACCTTCCCTCAAACCATCCAATTCATATAATCGACCATTGACAGGAACATAGCTGACAAAGTGAAAGGCATCTTCTTCTTTTGCGGTTGACTTTGCATCAAATTCAAACATCTGTTGTCTGCAAGAGATCAGTTCAACGCATGAATGAATGGAAAAACAGATTTTTAAACAGATTTTACTTGGGAAACATTTCAACATCTTCTTACCTAGCAAAACTGTTATGAACTTGCCGTATCACTTCTGAGTTACTTAATGCTAAGCCTTTCATCTGAAAGGAAAAAGAAAGATTGTTAATTACATTAGTACTTGACTTACAATCATTCATTTAGCAAGCATTCAAAGTTACAACAGCACCAAAGAAAAAAAGGTGCTGGTTTTTGCAACTGGTTCTCATAGTTACAACAGTCACAGCATCCCCATCCATGGGCTATGATCAAAATCCAGGCCATTTGGCAAACAGCATGTATTCTTGGTAGATGTCGTTTCTAGGGTAACGTAATGGCCATTTCTGACATTTACCAACCATTTTGACAAGCAGTGGAGAAGCAGAAATCACTGAATGACTGCATGATTAATTTAACAACTCAAGTGGTTAGTTTAGCAACCATGATTTTAAAAAGGTTGTAAAATAAGGCACGGCCCACATAAGAATTAGTTTGCTTAGAATGGAAATTCTGATCCAAATTCTGATCATAAACTGAGGACGACCTATATCGCTCATCTTCAAGATATTTTCTCAAATATGATTTTTACACATACCGCTGCATCAAAGCTTTGAGAGAATTCCTTGAACTCAGACAGTGTTTCTCCTAAGTGGATATCTTGATGGGTGCAGTTCAACAAAACACTTACTATTGCTTGAGTTGCACAAGCATTATTTATTACCTGTAAAGAGTATAACAAATAATTTAATTTGTGCAAATTGTAGAAATCACTAACTTTACTTACTGCAATCCCCTTTAAACTTCAAAACTGTTTTTATGGGTCTATGTTTGCAAATGTCAAATATACCTGATGCCTCAGCGCTTTTTATGGAAACAACTTACACATGTTCATCCATTCCTGTAATTCACCCTAAATAGATTAACAACACCAGTTGCTTGTGGTTGTCATAATGTTATTATTTTGGTTTGCATTATTAAATGGACCAATGGTTGCATGAGCCATTTAATTTGCTGGGAATTAATAACCAGTCTATTCTTTGTTAATAACTTGTCTGATAACTATACACATATTTTCTTAAGAAATAGTAACGATTGACAGCTAAAGAGTTCTGTATTTGGAAATGTTCCTTCAAAGGATAGAAAAGAAAAACAGAAAAAACATAAGAAAATCTAGGAATTAAGATTTATCTAAACAATAATTAGTTTATAATGAAAATAATCTTATTTTATGAAATCAAATGTTAGATTATGTTTTAGTGCATCACAAGTTCTTAAATTACCTAAGTAAAACTTTCGTTTCTCAATTTTCTATCCAAGTTAAACTGACTTAACGGTATATTCTCATGTGATTAGGTTAACATACAGTATTATCACCACAAATTTAAGCAGAGAGAATTGTAATTCTGCTATTACCTCACACTAAGTAGTTAGCAGATTTGGGTTTGAAAGGTAACAGGGAAGGAAAGCAGTGCTCTGTTCCTAAAGTCGTGGTAATTAATTGCAATGTCACAATTCAGTCTGCTCCTAAGCACACCAGAAGTCACCTTGTCCTATTCTGCCTTGTTCCTCCTTAAATGCTACACAGGTGACATCCTCCTTCATGGGAAACGGACATCCCAAAATACATTCTACCCCTGGAGTTAGATTTTACTGCACTCTGCTTGCTACCTTAACACATCAAATCGAGTCGAACACATTTCGTTCCATTTTAAAGATATTAGAATCCTGAATCAAAATGAAAAACAAATAAAAAACAAAGTCCAATTTCATCATATTGAGGCAATATATAGGTAGTCCTTGACTTACAACACTTCACTTAGTGATCCATCAGTTACAACGGCACTGAAAGAAAAAGTGACATGACTGGTTTTCACACTTATCGTTGTAATATTTTCATGGCAACATAATTAAAATCCAAATGCTCGGCAACTGAATCTTATTTGCAGTGTCCCTGAGTCACATGATCATCTTTTGTGATCTTCTGACAAGCAAAGTCAATTGGGAAGGTAAATTCATTTAAGAACCTTGTTTACTAACTTAACAACTGTGGCATGGAAAGTTGTAAAATGGGGCGAAATTCACTTAAGTGTTTTGCTTAACAACATAAATTTTGGACTCAGTTGTGATCGTAAGTCAAGGACTGCATGTATATGGTCAATTCCATAATTTTAAAAATGTCATCCATAAATTTGCTTAAAAAAGGCAAACTATATACTTATTAATTCAGAAACTTCCTGCTAGCAGAGAACACACAGCTTTGTAGATCGTGAAGCATTTTCCATGATTAGAATCGGAACATACAGGCATACCTTTAGTAACACTACAATTATGCATTCACATTATTTATAAATTAACATTTTTGTTTAAATGTTAAAAATAAAAATGCGACATGCATTTCTAGTTCTATGCTAAAATGATTTTTTTCTGCACTTCACAGAACCTGTCTGGCCATGTTTCCCTTTCATTTACAGTATCTCAGAATTATTGTGATGAAATACAATATTTCATCACAATATTTCAGAAGATAATTTTTTTTTTACTTAAAAAGAAACTGTCCCAGATACACAAGAGTTTTCCAATTTACCATACCTGTTTAGCAAAAAATAATGTATCTAATCTAGAATCCTGAACAACGGAACCAGCTGGTTCTTCACCCGGTTGCCATTTGAACAAAAATATCAGTCCATGAACTGGCCTACAGATAAAAGAAAAACACAAAATATATTGAAAACTGAAACATATATACTGACCAGGAAATAAAGCTAACTGCATATTTATTGTATTTAAAGCATAGAAAACTTACTAGCAGGTGGAGAGGAAAACAATACTATGCCTTCTAAAAATGTTTGGAGGAATCATACTTTCAGTTAATATTGTATGCTGTGTTCTATGAAATGCATACCTACACTTTGCAACAGGCACAGCAAATAACTTCACAGATCTCTGGGAGCATTCAATCTCCCCTCCCCATTAGGACTCACAATGTAACTATGCACTCCCAAAAGTAACTATACAGGGCTAGAATCTAAAAGCTATCTTCACTTCTTTTTCCAATAATGTGAATTGCTTGACTAAAATTGTAAATTTAATGAATTTATATGCCTCCCAATCCCAAAGGACTCCAGGCGGCTTACAGCAATACATATCTAAAAGAGTAAAAAATTTAAAAATAGAGAAGAAAAACAGGTTAAAAAAAACCTCATCATGCAAAAAACACATCATAAAGTTTGAGCAAATCTCCTTTATCAGTTGGGGGGGGGGAAAACATAGAACTTAATTTATACAGCAAGGAACATAAGGTAGATAACTACCAGCAACATACTTACTTTAATTTTTCAAAGTTCTCGGGCTCCAAACTCCATATCTCCTCAACCTGTGCTCCTCTGCAACCTGAAAATTAAGAAAACAGGTTGGAAGTCACCTAGGGGCAGTTTATATGGGAGAAACCTAAGGGCAAAACTTAGCGTTAATTTGAAAAGGAATTACAAGTCAATCCAGCTCTCCAAGCATCTGCCTTAGATATGTTTGCACTCACAAAATTCTGACGCAAATATATTTTGCTTTCAGGTGTTTGTTACATTATGTGTTGTTAAATCATAGATGAACAATTGAAATATAGATTTGGTGCATTTAACATGACAGCCCCCCCCCCCCCAGCCAATCTTGATGGCTTTTGAAGANCTGGGGGATTCTGGGAGTTGAAGTCCACAGGACTTAAAGTCGCCAAGGTTGAGAAACACTGTCCTAGCCACTGACCGGACGGCTCCCTACAGTTTTCTTGGCAAGCTTTCAAAAGTGGTTGGCTTTGCACCCAGGCAGGACTGGAATTCAGAATCTCCTGGTTTTTTAGCCTGACGCCTTAACTACACAAAACCATGGATATCCCTGATACAAATTCTTTATTTATATCTCATCTTTATTCATTTACAACTAACTCAAGGCAGCAAATATGTCCAACGCAACCTTCCTTCTCTTATTTTTCCCACAATAACCCATGAGGTGAGTTGGGTTGAGAATGTCCTGCATGTCCTCCTGACTTTTTATTTATTCCGAGAGAACAGACAAAACCGTAGAGAAAAGTGCGAACAAGCAAACGTAAGAAGAGAAAGTCCCATTTCCTTGGTTCTTGATAGTGAGATTTAAGAATAACTTTGAAAATCTGGATCATTTATTTATTTTTTGTTATTATTTTTTTATTATACAATTTTCTTGAGTTAAATATAAAATTTCTATGTTCACAGTAACAGTGTACTGTGTGGGTACAATTTAAGTACAGATAGGTCTTATACACACAGTATTTATGACTACTATTCTCAAATCCTATTCACCATCATCTTCACTTGTCCTTATTAAAAAAATTTGCATTACTTAATTAAACACTGTTGTTTTTATCGATAATCAATTGATAATATCAAACATTATAGACATCAGATAGAGATTAAAGTTATAACCATTATCCTCCAAATAATCATAAGGTTTATTTGTCATAATTATTCAAAGTTCATTCTTTAGTTATACCCATTACTTCATCATTTACATATCCACGTTTCTAACTTCTTTTTCTATTTTCTAACCCTTAATAAAATAATTCCCAAGTTAAAACAAGTAATATTTTCCCCATTTCTAGATCTGGATCATTTTTAATGGGGATATTTGATATGACATTGCTTTCTTTTTTTTCCTAAGAGGCAATGACTCAACTTGAGTGTACCGTATTTTTCGGAGTATCTTTTTGCCTCAAAAAAGAGGCTGAAAATCTGGGTGCGTCTTATACATTGAATACAGCAATTCTTGCCTCCCGGAGCCCCGCTTCCTTCTTCAAAATGGGCGTGCATACTCTTATGGAGGCTTTCAGAGAGCTCCTGGGGGCCGGGGAGGGCAGAAATGAGCGAAAAACAATCCGTTTTTTTGCCCCCCCCCCCCAGCAGCACTCTATGAGCCTCTGTAAGTCTATGCGTGCAATTTTTTTTTTACAAAAAAACGGGCCCGTTTTTACAAAAAAGGGGCATTTCTTTGCTCATTTCGGGGGGGCACCCCCCAGGAGCATTCTGCAACCCACACCCCCCCCAAGGCTATTCATGCCTTTTTTTGAAGAAAAAAAAACCGGCCCATTTTTGGGAGGTTTGCCGAGTGCAAAAACTCCCCCACCCTTTGGAAAGCTTTTTAACTGATGAGAATCAGATTGATCAAGTGCTGTGCCAGCAGAAACAAAGTCTTAGGTGCTGCGTATTTCCTTCTCCAGCACATGGATAAATACACCTGGAAACATCTACCTACCTACCTACTCCCTCTCTCCCTACTTACTGTATTTCTCTCCCTCTATCT